ATCTTTTATGTGTTTTATCATTAGATAGCCTACTAATAAATTGTACTAGCTCGACTTATAAATCTGATGAATGTATAATTATTCTCAAAGCTAAAATCTGAGAAGTATCTTATTTTGTTAGCAATCCTCACAATTTTTTAAAACTTGAGTGTATTCTGAAGGAAGTTTAGAGTCGAGGGTGAGTCATCTGATGTTGGTTTTTTTCTCTCCTTTTGACATTCCAGAAGAGTTCCAGCGTGCGGTAATGGTGTGCACGGGGTTCACTCTCAGCAGCCACATCGTGAGCACGGTGTTCAACATTTTCGACACGGACGGCGATGGTCACCTGTCGCATAAAGAGTTTATCTCCATTATGAAGGACAGACTGCACCGAGGGGCACGGGTAAGGGTGTGTCTGTGTGTCAGTGTGTCTGTGTGTCCCACAAGGAGGTTATCGCCATTATGAAGGACAGACTGCACCGAGGGGTGCGGGTAAGGGTGTGTCTGTGTGTCTGTGTGTCCCACAAGGAGGTTATCGCCATTATGAAGGACAGACTGCACCGAGGGGCGCGGGTAAGGGTGTGTCAGTGTGTCTGTGTGTCGGTTTGCTTCTTCTTTCCTATCAAACATCAATCTTCCTTATCTCCCCTCCTTCGTTTTTGTGTTTGTTACTCCCTTGTAACATCTCTAATCTTTTAGCGCTCATATGACCTTCTGCAGTTGCAAGTGCCGTAAAACACTTACTAAAACTTTAAAAAATGTGTCAGTTTGTCGTTTGTCGTACATTACACTGGTCTGTGTGATGGTCTTTGACAGGGGCGTTATACCTCTATCATTTCACCATTTTTTTTTTCTAAATTTTTTTTTTTAAAGGATAGTCTTTTAATTTCCTACCATGAGGATTGAGGGCATATTGTGGAATCTTCATTTTTTTGTCTTTAACTGTTGAAGGTGTTTTTGTAACTTTTTTCATGGGTTGATGTTCTTAGCCTGGATTAATTCATAAATAGCTCGTCTGTCTTGACCATGTCTGTAAGTCCTTACTGAATGTGGTACGTATACGGCCGAGAAGTTAAACAGGTGAAAAGACTTTGTGAGGTCTTCCTCATCAATCAGGTCCTTTTTCCTGGTCTGGTGCACAGCTGTATCTGTTGTGATTGTTGGGTTTATACATGATCTATGTCTCCTAGTTTCAGAAAGAGAAAAAAATTACCATATTCTGATTGGAAAGATTAGTCTTAACATTTTCAGTTATTATTTTTGAGTAGAGGAAAAGATCAAGATAATGAAAGGTTTTTGGGGTTTTTTTGGTTTTTTTAGAGCTTCTGAGCAGAGAAATGAGTGGTGAACCATGATCTCCAAGTCTCAGACCAGGCAGTTGAAGAATTATTTGATTTTTGTTTCCTTCCAGTCTCATCTGATGCACAGTCAGAACACCTGGGAAGCCTTCAAGACTTGTGTGAAGAACGAGATGAGGACGTTTTGATCCCCTGTGTCTCCACATGATCTCTGTGTGTGGGTGTGGATGGGAGAGAGAGAGAGATTCAGAGAGGCTGTTTTAGATTTTGATAATGTAATTGACTGAACAAACACTTTATACTTTTACATCTAGCTGTTTCGAGGTAGTGGGTTACATTTCTTAATCTGAAGCTCGGTCTCAGTACCGGCACTGTTGTTTCGGAAATATGTTTCTTTAAAATTGTGTTGGGAGTTTATGGAAACGAATGTGCGTGTTATGTATTTTAAGTTTGAGACACAAGATTGATCTTTTTCTTTTGTGAGTTTGGTGCAGTTAAGTTCCAGCCCTGTGTGAGATTCCAGCGTGGTAGATAGTGAGCCACGGCCCGGGAGTTCCCCGCTTGCTCTGGGAACTGAAAGGTTGGAGAGAGAATCGTTCCTGAAAGAGGACAGAAAAACGCTGAACACAGTGGGGCTGGAATGTTTACCCGTTGTACTGGGAAGTGTTGTAGAGGAAAGTGGGTTCGGCTTTGAGTTTAGGGAGAAATTGTTTTGAATAACAAGACTGGATTGTGAGGGTGAGAGGGAGAGGGAGGGTGAGAGGGAGGGTGAGAGGGAGAGCAATTGGTTTTTGTTGGTTTTTGTTACTCACCGCCAGTTGTGATGGATACTGCCTAGTGAGGATAGAGCCAGGCAAGCAGGGGAGTTGCCACTGTTTTTTTCTTTGTTGGCTCAGACAGTTTTTTAAAGAATTTTTTTTATCATGGTCAACAGAAAACAAATAATATATTGATGGAAGTGACTCTGAAATACTGTTGTTTTATTGTTTTGTGATAGGGACCAGGTAGGGAGGATAAGTATTTTTTTGGGCTTCTGAGAAGTAAAGCTTTGTTGGTTTGGGTTTTTTTAAAGATGGTTGGTCCCTGCAGAGTAAATTGTGGCGACTACATCCGCGGTTTGATGGAAAAGAAAATTTTTTTAAAAAATATTATGAAGGGCACGTGTTGATTTCTCCTGTCCATGACTTGTGTGTGATTGGGTGGTGAAATAGTTGACAAGTCTGGGTGTGTGTGTGTGTGTGTGTGTGTGAGTGTGTGTGTGTGTGTGTGTTGTTTACTCTATCATGCATCATCAGTGCAGTGTTTGTTTTTCGCACGTATTTATGCAAAACTTATGACTCTGAGCATATACCGTAATCTTTGATTGTTTTCTACGTAAGGCTTGCATTAAGCGTAGCTGTGATTTCTTCATTATCCGATGTTTTTTTCTTGTGTGTGTGTGTGTGTGTGTGTGTGTGTGTGTGTGTGGCTGGCTGTGTTGTGTGGAAAATGTCGCTACAATTACAATATTGCTTACCACAGTTCTTAGAACTTGTTATGATGGCCTCTTACTATGATGATGGTTCGTATCTAGATATAAGACGATGCTCCACCTCTCGAAAATGAGCGGTCGTTGGGTGTTTCCCACTAGTCCAACTGAAGCTGTGCCCGTCTTGATTATCCATCTTCATCTTCATCATCGCCGTCATCATCATCATCATCATCATCTCTGTCTGGTTGTTTTGTGACCACCACAAGGGCCTGGAGATAAGAAAAAAGGTCTGGTCTGATCTTGCGAGAAGTTTTCGGTTTCGAACCACACCCTCCAGCGTTGTGTGGATTTCATTCTCCCAAGTTTGGCAAGTGAGGAGAGATGAGGACATTCGATGGTTGATCGGAAAGACGGAGGAAACCACACCAGAGTACCCACCAACCACCCACTGTTCATTTTTGGCTGATGTCTCCGTTAACATTTAGCGAGAAGCAACAACTCATTTTGTCAGCACACCTCACATCTCACATTTCGCCAGCTTTCGGGTAATACAGACTCTCGAGACAACAGCGACTTTTCTGAACGTTTTCCCAAAGTGTGAGGTCAAAGGCTGTTTGGTCTGTAGATGTTGATCGCGTGCCTTTGGTAACCTGACCACATATATATATATATGTGTGTTTCTCGTTACTGTTGTGTGTAAATCTATGTGGAAAAAACTTTCTAAACTGATATATTTACTGTAGTGGTCTAGCCTCACCTGCCCACCCTTGTGATGCCAACTGCAGTCTTGGGACACAAGGAGACAATACTCACATTTATGAAGTTACTTTTATGAATTTTCTATTAAAAAAACACGTGTGTGTTTGAGCACACTTTCTCTACATAACCTCACATAAGCTAGTAAAATATTATGTGGTAGTCTTTGTGGTCAAATCAGGCGCTCGTCATAATAATGACATTTTGAAATCTGCATTTTTGGGGCCGACGGGCAATTTTTTGGGGTAATTTTCTTTTTTCTGCTCAACACCTTTTATGTCCTTTTAAAAACACGTTTTTTGTGGGTTTTACTGAAAAACATTGAGTAAAGGCACAAAAAATAAATGTAAATTTTCAGTTTCCAAGGACTGTCAGGCAATGGAAGTTACCATACTTTGGCGGCCATTGTCTCGCTAATTTCTCCTCTGAAACCAGGTAACCTTGACCTCCTTCAATCGCAAATATTTCAACTTCTGTCCTACATAGATGGATGTTTATTTCACCAACAGGAAGACAAATGAACAGACTTTAAGATGACATCAATAACCCCATATGCCCAAAACTTGACGAGTGCCTGATTCCCCAGTGTGGATGGACCTACAACCATGTGTCCACATGATAGAGAGTTTGGGATGACACTTCTTCTTGTTTTTCTTTTCATCTTTTAAATGACGGCAGGTGGTTGTTTCACTACAATCTCTGTAGTGTAGAGAGTTTTGTTGTTGTTTAGTTCAGAGAATTTGTGAAAAAATTACTTGTGTGATATTTATAATTTGTGCTCTTAAATTTGTACAGCCAGAAGTTTCCAAGTTTTGTAGTAGACTGCGTCAAGAAAATAGTCTTTGTCTTTGTCTTTGTCTTTGTCTGTGGATTGAATCTAATGTGGGTGTCTTCGGGAGATCCGTGTCGTGAAAGTTTCTGTTTGACAATTTACAACTGGCGACTGACTGGACGGTCTGACTGGACGGTCTGACTGGACGGTCTGAAGTGTCTGATTCATGAGTGGCACCATCGGACGCAGTGGTTGCACACGTTGTTTTTTTAAAGAGTTTTTTAAAATGTTACATTTCTGAGCTTTTATGGACAAGCGGGCTAACCCACATCTCGGGGGTTTCCAGAAATTTTGACGTACATGAAAACTAGGCATTGCCCTTCCTATAACAGAAGTTTGGTTTCATGGGTGTGTATATTTGTTTGATTATAGAGAAATCTCTCCTTATCTTTTAAAGTTACTGAACGAGGGACAAAAATTTTAACTTCGATTTTCTCAAAACAGCATTTTCTGGGATAGCCCCCTTGTGCCTCAAAGCGACCATTTCTGAGCTTTTCCCTGACCAATATAGTAGCCTTTTTCCCTTACCTTGTCACTGTACATTCAACTAATATAATTATAATATTATTACTTTTTCATCGTCTTCTCCTGTGTGTGTCAGCTTTTGGCTGAGCCAGGCCGTGAACTCATACACATATACAACACACTGTTGGTGTTGGTGGGGCTATGGTGAGGTATTTGGCTGTTGCATGCAATGATAGAAGACGAGCTTATTGGTTTTTTCCTTCTCCGGTGTAATGAAAGTCGAGATGGGCCTGGTTCTCATTCTTGGACCTGTCAATAAACTTCTGATTCTGATATTATAAACTGGTGTGTTCATGTGTGTGTTCTTTAGTTGAGTCTTGACTTACATCATCCCCACTATTTTCTACATCATCCCCACTATTTTCTACATCATCCCCACTATTTTCTACATCATCCCCACTATTTTCTACATCATCCCCACTATTTTCTACATCATCCCAACTATTTTTTACATTATCTCCACTATTTCCTAGCTCACTCCAACTATCTGTAAGCTCATCCAAACTATTTCTACATCCTTTCAACTATTTTCTACATCATCCCCACTATTTTCTACATCATCCCCACTATTTTCTACATCATCCCCACTATTTTCTACATCATCCCCACTATTTTCTACATCATCCCCACTATTTCCTAGCCAACCCCAACTATTTTTTAGCTCATCCCCACTATTTTTTACATAATTTCAACTAATTTTTACACCTTTCCCACTATTTTCTACATCTAAAACACTACTTTCTACTTCACTGTCACTATTTTCTACATCATACCCACTATTTTCTACATCATCCCCACTATTTTCTACATCATCCCCACTATTTTCTACATCATCCCCACTATTTTCTACATCATCCCCACTATTTTCTACATCATCAAACTATTTTCTACATCATCCCCACTATTTTCTACATCATCCCCACTATTTTCTACATCATCCCCACTATTTTCTACATCATCCCAACTATTTTTTACATCTTTTCCACTATTTTCAACTTCATCCCCACTATTTTCTACATCATCCCCACTATTTTCTACATCATCCCCACTATTTTCTACATCATCCCCACTATTTTCCTCATCCTCCCAAGTATTTTCTACATCATCCCCACTACTTTCTACATCATCCCCACTACTTTTAAACTCTTCACAAATATTTCTGCATCATCCCCACTATTTATTATTCCCCCGATTTCCTAGCCCATCCCAACTATTTTTTTAGTCCATCCAGGGTATTTTCTATATAATCTGCATGATTTTCTACATCATCCCCACTATTTTCTACATCATCCCCACTATTTTCTACATCACCCCCACTATTTTCCTCATCCTCCTAAGTATTTTCTACATCATCCCCACTACTTTCTACATCATCCCCACTACTTTTTACATCATCCCCACTACTTTCTACATCATCCCCACTCCTTTCTACATCATCCCCACTATTTTCTACATCACACCCACTATTTTCCTCATCCTCCCAAGTATTTTCTACATCATCCCCACTACTTTCTACATCATCCCCACTATTTTCCTCATCCTCCCAAGTATTTTCTACATCATCCACACTACTTTCTACATCATCCCCACTACTTTTAAACTGTTCACAAATATTTCTACATCATCCCCACTATTTATTAGGTCGCCCTAACTATTTTTTTGCTCATCCAAACTATTTTCTACATCACCACCAGTATTTTCTACACCATCTCCACTATTTTCCACGTTATTCCCCCGATTTCCTG